GGAGAAGACGGAGGGATGGAGGAAGAAAGGGAAAAGAAGAGAAGGAAGAAGGGAGGGAAGAGAAAGCAGAATGAATCAGAAATGATGTAAAAACATTAGCATTTTTGTGTGGTGATGAAAATATACAACAGTACAGCCCTTGTGCAAAAATGATATTGTGATTCTTCAAATATCAAACACAGAAATACAATTTCATCTAGTATTTCTATTTCTAGGTATACATTAAAAGGAATGGAAAATAGGAATTCAAAGCTTGAGTGCATCCATAATCATAGCAGCATTGTTCACAATAGCCAAAGATGGAAAGAATCTCAGTGTCTATCCATCAATGGATGAATAAACATAATACACAGATACATACTACAACATGAATAATTCTATCTCTTTTTGGGGGTTGGTTTGGGTTGAAGCCAGGGCTTCTCACATGAGAGTCAAGCATTTTATCAATGAGCTATACACTAGTGCCTTATGGATGAATCTGGAAGATATGCTATGTGAAATAAACCAAACACAAAAGAACACTATATTATTTCACCTTTTTTGGGGGTCCATCATGGATACTGAACTCAGGGCCTGGGTGCTGTTTCTGAGCTCTTTTGCTCAAAGCTAAAGCTCTACCACTTTGAGCCACAGCTTCACTTCCAGTTTTCTGGTGGTTAATTGGGTAAGAGTTGCACAGGGACTTTTCTGCCCAGACTGGCTTCAACCATTATCCTCAGATCTCAGCTTTCTGAGTAGCTAGGATCACAGGCATGAGTCACTAGTGTCTGGAAATGATTCCACTTATATGAGGTACATAGAGTAGTGGAATTCATACAGACAGGAAGTAGAATTGTAGTAGCCAGGAGACAAGGGAAAGAGGACTAGGGAGTTACTTGGTTATAGAGTTTTCGTTTGGAAATATAATAAAATCCTGGGGGTAGATGGTGGTGATTATTGCACAAGTGTGTTCTAAATGCCAACAAACTATTTATCTAATAATGATTAAAATGACAAATTTTATGTTAAGTACTTTTTACCACAATTTTTAAAAAAGTTTTCTTAATGACCCCAAAAGATCTCAGGACTAGGTTGTCTACTCTCACTACTTCTTTTTCTTTTCTTTGTGCCAATCCTAGGGCTTGAACTTAGGGTCTGGGAGCTGTTCCTGAGTGATTTTGCTCAAGGTAAGCACTCTACCACTTGAATCCCAGCTCTACTTCCAGCTTTTCTTTGTATGGTTAAATGGAAATAAGAATCTCATGAACATTCCTGCCTGCACTGGCTTAAAACTGTGATCCTCAGATCTCAGCTTACTGAACAGCTAGGATTACAGGCATGAGCAGCCGGTGCCCAGCTTCACTTCTACCATTTCTATTTAACATTTTGCAAGATTTTAGTTGCTACAATCAAGTAAGGTATACCCTTATAGATCAGGAGAAAAGAAGGAAAACTTTATTCAATTTTGCATGATCATAGTTATTAAAAACTATCAAGAGTCCACACACACAAAAAAATCTACTGATGTAACTATGTCAGTAAGGTTGCAGGACACAAGGTCATGTGGCAGACTATATTTTCTTTTTTTTTTTGCAGACTATATTTTCAATAAATGGTCATAACAGTACTTCTAGTTACCTGTGTACTTCTATAACATTACCAGATTCCATTAACAAGTAAAATCTAATCCTTCAACACCTATGGATAATGGTCAAAACTTTGTAACTACTTCAATAAATACAATGCATCAGAAGAGAGACAGTATGTTCTAGCAGACTTTAATAAAAAGTGACAGGGTCTGTGCCTAGCGTGTGCTCTAACTCTGTCTCATTCACATGTGTCATGCAAACCCAATCATACAATTGTGAGAAAGCCAGGAGAGCCAAGATAGAAGCTTCATGTAATAGGCTTCTTTGGAAAGTTAAGCTCTTAGAATCCAGACCCTAGTCTTTGAGGTATTCTAGATGATATGGAATTGTAAAGTAATCTCTACTGGTTCTAACCAAAGTACAGATATAAAAGCAAAATAAATGTTGTTATTATTTTAGGTCACTAAACTCTACAGTCATTTGCTATGCAGGGTTACATAGTGACTAGAACAAATTAATATATAAAAATGTATTTCTACATATTAAAAAAGAATTGACTGAAAAAATTAAAACCTAACATTTAGAGTAATACTGGAAACTACCATATGAAAGTTTTCCATATGAGGAACAACTAAATTAAAGTGCAAACAAAGGCACAATTAATTTTGAATTTAATCATGGCTGTGGATGTTAGGGAAAAAAAATGGTTATCAGAGTTGTTGCCAGACAGAGCAATTGGAAACAGAAAAAAAAAACAGCAAAAACTAAAAAAGCTACATATTATTTCTGAACAAGAGAACTGCACAATCCAACATGATAGTCACTAGCCATATGTGTATTCTGAGCACTTCAAATGTGGCTGTTGTGACTGATGAAAAGAACATTAAAATGTATTCATTCCATACATTCCTAGGACCAGCACATTAGAGTACAACTTTAGAGCCCTAGCAGCTAGATTTAAAGTATCTGTCAGCTAAACCTGAGATGGGCTGGCTACTGAAGGGACCTATGGGGGACAAAAGAGTTGCCTCTAATGTGAAAAGTTTGGCCACTGAGAGGAAAAACACAAATACAGATAACTGTAAGGACAAAGCTGTGAAAAGAGTTGAGGATGGTATATATAGTATTAATAGAAATAGGATCAAATGTTTAATCTTCCCAAGAAATAGGATGTAAAAAAAAAAGAGGATGTAAAGCAAGAGAAATAGTCAGGCTTGAAAAAGAAAACCAATTAAATCATACTATGAAAAATAAAACTAAAGTTTTCTTGAAAAAATATATATACACACATACATATATAGGTTAAGCATGCTTAATTTTATAATCTGCTTTGCTGGCTTTGAAAATGTAAGAAGGGACCCATAAACCAAGGAATGCAGGCCACCTCTAAAGCTGGGAATGACTCACCCAGATGAAAGCCAACTAGGAGAGAGAGACTTCAGTCCTATTAATCACATGGAATAGAATTCTACTAACAACCAGGATTTGGAAGATAATTCACCCACAGATACCCTTGAAAGGAACATTATATCCTGTCAACACCTTGATTTTGGCCAGATGAGACTAAGCAGAGAATCAGTTAAGCCACACTGTTCTTGGACTTCTAATCTACAACAAGTCTGTGGTGATAAATCTGCATTGCATGGAACCTCTAAAAACTAGAAAGAACTTGAATTTGTTAGTGACTCAAACAAAATTTTAAATGGTAAATGACTGAAATTTTCTTGCTTGTACCTTATAATGTTTAAAAATAAAAGGAAACATACAAATAAAAAAATAAAATCTGAAATCCTCCAAAGTATAAAGTACTTCTGGTCAAGTACATTCAACTGGTAGTTATCAAGCTGATCTGCTGGTAGACACATACAGCATATAGCATAACCTTAAGTACAAGCTGTGTTAAAAATTGTCTTTAGTAAATACATTGTTTGAATCTGATTATACAGTATTTCCTTAGAGGAACAAGTGAGAATGAGAGGCTAAGTCTCCAATTGTCCTTTTATGTGTAAAGCACTATGTCTAACAACATCCAAATAAGACACCTACGCGTCTAGGTTCAATACTGTATGGTTAAATATATGCAGAGTTCTCATTTGAATGTTAAAACAATTCTATGTCTTTCACTATTCTAACTTGTATTCTAATTAGTAAAAGTTGTAGCTTTACAGATGATTTTAAAAAGGGAGTTTTAGGAGTAAAAGCGAAAGAAAAAATTCAAATAGTTTCTAATCTAATGACTTCTTCCAACACTCCTGTTTGTCTGCGAAGGTTTCAGAAAATGTCCTCTCTACGTTATAGTTTCTAGAAGAGTTGATCTCTTTTCCAGATCCTTGTAGAAAAAAAGAATATCTGCTCCAGCTGCATTCCCATTTTCAATGGCCTATTCCTTAGTAAGCCATTTCACCACAGCACTGTGTTTGTTGGAGAATGGTTAAGAATCATATATTTGAGAAGAGCATTTTGAAAAACAGCATTTTGAGAAAGAATTGATCCCACATTTGAGTTCTTGGTAAAATAGGAAGGAAAGAGAGGCACTCCATGGTTGGGCTTATCTGGAAGCAACAGGAACAAGTGGCAGTAGATTAAAATGGTTTTCTTCTCCTCTACTCCCTTTCTTTTTTTTTTATCTTGAGTGAAAATTCAAAATATAGGTGGAACTAAGTCTTGGTAGCTCATGCTTATAATCCTAGCTACTCAGGAGGCTGAGATCTGAGGACTGTGGTTTGAAGCCAGTCTGGATAGGAAAGCCTGTAAGACTCTTATCTCTAATTATCCACCAAAAAAGTGGAAGTAGAGCTGTGGTTCAAGTGGTAGAGTGCTAGAGTGCTAGCCTTAAGCAAAACAGTTCAGGTCCTTAGTTCAAGGCCTAGAACTAGAAAAAAATACAAGTTATGTAGATGGGGAAAGACCAGGATGGAGTTTGGATATACTATCATTCAATCTATCTCCATTTCAAAATAATACCTACAGTTAGAAATATCTTCACTTAACCACTAGATATTTCCTTTTGATTGTTCCATTGACATTCAAAACCATGAAATACAGCTGTAAACCTTAATATATTAAAGATAAAATTAGAAAGATTTTAAAATCAAGTTTAATAATAAACATGGCTAATAGCCAAAATTCTAATTAATATTTTACTTAAAAGATATACTATAAAATATACTTTCTATAAAAATAAGCATATGCAGGGGCTGGGAAGGTGGCTCAGTGGTAGAGGGCTTGCCTTGCATGCCTGAGGCCCTGGGTTCGATTCCTCAGCACCACATAAGCAAAAAGAAAAAAGCCGGAAGTGGCGCTGTGGCTCAAGTGGTAGAGTGCTAGCCTTGAGCTGAAGAGCTGAGGGACAGCGCCCAGGCCCAGAGTTCAAGCCCCACGACCGGACCCCCCAAAAAAATGAGATTACCATAGAAATTAAAACTGTATTACCTTCATAATGTTAAGTAAATCAGTTTGATAGTAGCGATCCTGATGTGCATTTGCTGCTGCTAGTGTGAGAAGGTAGTCATTCCTTGCATGAGTAGCTTTGGAATTGCACTCAGATCGTCGGGCTTTCAACTAGAACACAGTAAAATAAAAATACCATCAGTGCAAACTGCTATTGAACTTATGAATTTCCAGCTGGCAATTAATGGCTTCCCACCAGGAATAAACATAACCATGTCAAGAACACATTTATATATACATAAAATTACGCATCACTTCGACGAACAAAATAGTGTCTATATACAATAATAGAAGAACACTTTTAAAGTAGTTGTTACACTTAAACATACTTCTAAAACTTTCTAGAGAAAGAAATACTTTGCTCATTTTATGCAAATGGAAAAATAAAGGTTTGAAATTAGCTATCCTATCTCGGAAGACATAAATAAATCTACTGGAGTTAGAAAATAGTTTTTTAAACTATTAACACTTCTAATATGCTAGAACTGCCTGCTGGTGGGGAGCCTTGCAGTAAAGTAAGTATTAACTTATTGAACATCCTACAACTTGAAGGCCTCCCAGGAAAACTCATTTTCATCTGAGAAGACTTGCCCAGGGATTTAAGGTTAAGTAAACCAGTTTACCAGTTTTTTTTTTTTTTTTTTGTCGTCATGGGGCTAGAACTCTGGGCTTGGGTGCTGTCCGTGCACTCTTCAGCTCAAGGCGAGCGCTCTACCACTTGAGCCACAGCACCACTTCTGGTTTTCTAGTGGTTTATTGGAGATAAGAGTCTCACGGCTGGCTTTGAACCGTGATCCTCAGATCTCAGCCTCCTGAGTAGCTAGGATTACAGGCTTGAGCCACCGGCGCCTGGCTAGTAAACTAGTTTTTGTAGCACGTCCTAAAGCCATTGCATTGTCTCCTATACTATGAGTTAGACATACGCTTCCTAAGCAGGTAAGGCATAGAAACCTAACACCTAATGTAGTCTTGAGAAGTAACTTATATCCAAAATGGTGACAGCTGAATGAAAACAACCTTAAAATGATTCTGTAAAGTAGAAGTAACCCACTTCCACCCTTGAAAGATCCAATTCTTTATTTACTTAATTGATTAATATACGATTTCAAACCTCACCTTTACACTTGCCTTCTGTAAACTGATTCTTGATTGAAAAAGACTAAGTTTAGACCTATAATAAAAATAGAAATTAATGTTTAATAAAATTATAAATTGTACAATTACTAACATTATAATTAATTTTTAAATAACTTTTTTGGAAGATACTATTCTAAAACTAATTAAAAAATGGAAAATTAAGAGTGATGTTGATTTGCCATTGTTTTATCACAGGAAGAATTTAATGATAAATACAGAGATCAACATAATAAAATATCCTCAATGACAAAAATAAAATTTAACAAAGAAAATACTTTGGTGTCTCCTAATTAAAAGAATGATGAGCTGTTAGTTATTCCATAACATAGAATTTCACACATTCTAGTTCTTGTAAGAAAGGTCAGAGAAACTTAAGAGACAACAAAACTGTAAAAGCAAAGATTAGTAGGCTTCCAGGGTTCTGTAGGATTAGCTATAACAACATCAAAGTGCAATCTGCAATCTTTAAAAAATTCTTTCTCTCAATATTCCTTCCCCTAGAAGTTATTCATGTATGGGTGCCTGCCTATGTATACTTTCTCCACTCCAAAAGGTATTCTGCTGAATTTACAGAGAAGGTCCTTGGACACTGCTGTGTTTAATCTCCCACTGTAATGTTCATATCTCTTGATTCCTGTAAGTTTGGGAGGGGACCTATAATCTAAAAATCAGTAGTAAAATATATTGGTTTGAATCCAAATGACTAGAGATAACCACACAGAGAAAGTCAACAGACAAGTGCAAAGGAACAAGCAACGATCCTGTGACAAGTGATTTTTCTGAAGATGCAGTGTTTGTCTTAACTGTGGTGTCATGGAGATTGCCATGGGAGAATTAAATGCATGTGCTGGCAGCTATGCCTTCATATAAATTACAGCTGCAGACCACTTGGGATTGGAAGACAAAGCAACCAGTCTCTGCAGAGCAACTGTGAAGAAGACAGCAAAGGTAGCTGCTTATCTCTCTAATAAGAAAGAAAGCAATCAGTGATGAATGTATATTCACCCCACTCTTCTGCCCTGTTAGAAAAAACATGGATCTAGGGCTGGGGTATAGCTCAGTGATAGAACATTTGCACAGCATGTACAAGTATTGGGTTCTATTCTCAACCCCACACAAAAAGTTGGGTCTAAGATATTCCTGATATTTCTTAGTTTGTCATATTCATCTTTCATGTATTTTTTGTTTTTATCAGATTCCTATTCATTTTGATTTAGAAAAGCAAAGATCACAAACTTTAGGCAAGTGAGCACTAGTTCAGGATAAGACTGTGGCTGAAGCATTCTTAGTTCTCCTTTTTCTAGTCATTAGCCAAATTAGGCTAAGTTGTATACCATTATCTTCCAAAATAAGGATTTAAGTTTTTGGATTAGCTCTTTACCAACCTACATAAGACCAAAACAGTATCTTCCTTCAAAGACTGGAATAAACAGACAAGATTCTGACAAATTATACACTGTGCAAATAATGAACTATTTTATGTAGTATGCCTTACTATCTACTCTTCCTTGGATTTACATATTCAAAATCACATCTAATTATATATTTGACTGCACCCCTAGAACACCAATTTGACGGGTAACTGACCTCCAAAAGTGAGATCTTCAGTTCCAAATTATCATCTAAGAGTGGGTACTTGACTACCTACCAAAAATATCCAAGTCAGTTTCTCCAAGGCTCTTCAGAATTTATGTATCCAAAATGGAGCTCACCATTTCCTTCAAACTGCATCCTTCTTGCTTTTCTGGTCTCTGTTAAGGTGTCTACTCACTATCTTTGAAATCATATGTAGCTATCTCTACTTTGAGAACCATATTCATCTTTAAGACTATCCAAACATCACTGTTTCTATAAAGGTTCATCTTATCAGGAGGCAAAATTCATCTTTTGATTTTCCATGCATTTTAACAGCTTCATATTTCTATAATAATAGGTTACTGAGTAAATGACTTCAAATACTAATTTTTTTGTATTTACTAATGAATAAATGTACTTCCTAATTCTAGGCTCCAACTTCCTTGATGGCATGAAACTAACTCTAACCCTAATCAACCCTGTACCAACTGTACCAAACAGTGAATGAATGAAGACAAAGGTAGTTCTTATTTTGTACTTGAATTAATTTTCCAGAAAAATTACATACTGAACTACAATGTTTCATTTTGGATTTGAGCCATACTAAAAAGTAGTTCCTTATGATCAGCTCTGTGAATTAAATGACTATCAAGTCTGTACTTCTCAGGAACAGTCCTGACATTATCTTCATTTTATCCTATAGGACATGGCTAAATTAAGTATTTACACAAGCTGAACAAACTTGGAGTTCTCAGTTCTAGAATTCCTATAAGCCATCATGGCAGGATAGCCCCAATCAAGTTCCCCTAATCTACAATCTTCAGATTTTATTGGGAATAAGAGCGTAGTGACTATGAAAATGTAAGGAATATATGTATGTTCAAAAAATAAAACAAGAAAAATAATTAACTGAGGGAAAAATTTAACATGCTTTCTGGTAACATCAAGAATTCTATGAACATTCATTTAGTATTCTTTTGTACTAAATTTTCCAGTAATCGCTAAATTTTCACAAGATATTTACAAAGTCACTTAAAATCTTTGTAGAAAAAAAAAGCATGATAGATAGCCACCTTTTCCTTGCTAGACATTTTTACAAATGTCCAAAGTTGTCTGATTTCATGTCAAGGAGTTCAGACTCAGGTTTTGAGGCAGTCAGCACAGTGAAAGGGGTCTCAGCAATTCTGCTCATACACCTTTTGAGTCCAGCTCAATAATATAAGTTTATTTTTTCCTTACCATATATGATCAGATACCTTCAAGTTGTCACTGCAAAAAATCTCTGCTATGCTACTTATTTTATAACCTTAAAAAATAATTGCTGCTGGGTGCTGTTGGCTCATGCCTGTAATCCTAGCTATTCAGAAGGCTGAGATCTGAGGATCATGGTTCAAAGCCAAACCCAGCAGGAAAGTCTTATCTCCAATAAGCCATCAGAAAACCGGAAGTGGCACTGTGGCTCAAGTGACAAAGTGCTAGCCTTGAGCTGAAGAGCTGAGTTTAAGTCCCAGGCCCAGAATTTAAGTCCCACAACCGCAAAAAAAAAAACCACAAAAAAACACCCTGCCAATTTCTTCTTTTCCTGTTATTATCTAAATAAAAGACTAACTTACAAACATTGAAAGTGAAATTGGCACAATTGCTAAAACATATTCTAAAATATATATGTACTAGAATTTCATGCAAAATTAAAATATACTGCTTGGGCAAATTTTCATGGGGATCAGAGCACTTGTGCACTTGATATACCCACAGTCCTTCAATGGCATGTGGAGAATCATGATATTTTCAACTACAACTGAATTCATTCTAGCATGATAAATATTAGGTTCTTAAGCCCCAAATTTAAGACAACATAACAACTTTAAACTTTTGATAAGGGCTGGGGAGGTGGCTGAGTGTAGAATGCTTGCTTTGCGTGCACGAGGCCCTGGGTTCGATTCCTCAGCACCACATAAGCAGAAAAAACAGAAGTGGCACTGTGGCTCAAGTGGTAGAGTGCTAGCCTTGAGCTGAAGAGCTGAGGGACAGCACCCAGACCCAAAGTTCAGGCCCCACGACCGACAAAAAAATAAAATAAAATAAAACAAAAAAACAAAAATTTTCCATAAGCTTTCAAGTCTATGAACACAATCCTCATTTATCTTCTTTCCTTTCCAAATTCAGCTTAATAATCAAATAGTTCCATTTATTATATTAGTAAAAATAAACATTAGTCAATATAAAAGAAAAACAAATGTAGGTCAAATAAAAACCAATACACCATAAGAGTAAGTCTATGGTCTGTACTGACAGAAAACAAAAATATTATCAGAGATAATGTTTATTTGCATAATCATTTTCTAAGAAAGGCAAAAAACACATACTTTGCCTCGATGTCAGCTTTCTCTCGTATTGCATGAGCCATCTGTTCAGTCTCAAAGTACTTCTTTTTGCCTTTAGCTAAATCTTTCACTGTTTCTTGTAATTCAGTTTGGATCTTTGTCAACTGGTCCACACACTGTAAAATATAAAAGTGCAATTACTGTAATTTTAGTTTTCAAGTTCACAGAAAAGAAACCCTGGAAAAGAATCTGCACTTTTAAATGTCCTTCAAATTATAAATTAAAATCTGATGAACAGCTGGCACTTCCGTATCAAGTAGTATATCAAACAGCATCAAGTTTGCCTAACAAGCATGCTTTGCAAAATAACCCAGTTCTGCTGCTGACTGACATTAAGAACAGCTATGAAAAACTTGTTGCTGCACATATCGCAATAAAGGCACGTGAATAAAGCCATTTGGTATTCCTTCAAAATCTTAATAAGTTTGATTGCAAACACAAAAGCTGATAAAAGGAGTCAGAGAATTAAGTAGTATACTAAAGTATTGGAGTTAAATTACATTTTTTCTGTAGACTTCTGTTTTTTTTAAAGACTATATAGAGTTTAGAATTAGAAAGTAGTACATTCAAGTTCCTATTTACTAAATCTCTCTAACAATTTTTGGCTTTAGTTTTATCATTTGAAAAATGTAATACACTCCTGGTCAGGGCAGTGATGAGAATCAAATGAGACCATAATGGATATTGTGTCCACTTGAAAACTATAAACTGTTATACAAATTTGAATCACAATTATTTCTTTTCATGTGTGTGGTGCTAGGGGTATAGTTCAGGGCCATACATGCTAAACATATACTTTAACACTGAGCTACATCCACAGTCTCTCAATCAGAATTACTTCAAGGGAAGTAAGTAAATGTTAGTATAAATGAGAAAGGCATGGACAGCAAATATAAGAATGGCACAAAGACTTAGGTTATTATGGCTCATGTTTTCACTTATAAGCTAATGTTCGCAGATAAAAAAAAATGATCTAGATCCCAGGTGCTGGTTGGTCATGCCTGTAATCCTAGCTACTCAGGAGGCTGAGATCTGAGGATCATGGTTTAAAGGCAGCCTGGGCAGGAAAGTCTGTGAGACTCTTATCTCCAATTAATCACTGTGATGCTGTGGCTGAAGTGGTAGAGTGCTCACCTTGAGCTGAAGAACTCAGGGATAGAGCCCAGGCCCAGAGTTCAAGCCCCACAACTGACAGAAAAATAGATCTAGAAAAGGCTACCATATGATTCTTTTTTTTTTATTTTATTTGTGAAGATACTGTACAGAGGGGTTACAATTACATGGGCAGGATAATGCGTACATTTCTTACCAAGCATTGCAGCCTCCTCCTTACCATATGATTCTTATGATAATTTCTCATTATAAATTTCAGCATTCTATCTGCCTATCAAACTTTGAAAATAACATCTCTCAGAGCTTCCATAATTTTTATCTACAACCTCCAGCACTAGGAGGTATACTAATGTTATAGACCCAAATGATGAAACTAAAATACTGGCATTGATTAAAAAAAAAACTATCCAAAGTAGTTCAGATAGTAGAATTATGAAACAGATCAGGAGTAACATATTTGAGAAGCTAAAGGAAAGGGATAAGGGTTAGGATGTAGTGTGGTAGTACAGCAATTTCTTAATATGCACAAGGCTCTGGATTCAAGAGTAGGGGGAAAGAGGACAAAGGAAAAAATGTGGAGAACTGTATCTGAATCAGAACATGTATTTTTTACAAATCAAAAAAAAATTCTAGAAGTTAAATATACATCAAGATTCCAAAAAAATAGGTTTAAAAAGTAAGTTAGAAGCAGGGCGCCAGTGGTTCACGCCTGTAATCCTAGCAACTCAGGAGGCTGAGATCTGAAGATTATGGTTCAAAGCCAGCCCCAGCAGGAAAGTCTATGAGATTCATCTCCAATAAACTACCAGAAAACCAGAAGTGGAGCTGTAGTTCAAGTGGTAGAGCGCTAGCCTTGAGCTGAAGAGCTGAGGGACAGCACCCAGGCCCAGAGTTCAAGCCCCACGACCGGAAAAAAAAAAAAAGTTAGAACTGAGTGTTAATGCACTGCCAGGCAGATCAATGGGAAATATTCAGATTAACAGAGAGAGAAAAACAGGGTAGAAATACAGAAAAATTGTAAAAGACATGGACAAAGTTACAAATCTAACAAAATAAAGTAATCAATGCAGAAGTAATAGATTTATACTGTTGAAATATTTTTCTACTGTTAATGAGGTAGTAAACTACTAATCAAAGTTGATTATAAAGGACTGGGAACCAAGTTTGAAAATAGTAAAATTAATGATTTAAAATAATGAATAAATCGGCATGTTGCAATGTCTAAGGTAATTATTAAAAGAAAAAATATAGAGGGGCTGGGAAGGTGGTTCAGTGGTAGAGCGCTTGCCTTGCATGCATGAGGCCCTGGGTTCGATTCCTCAGCACCACATAAGCAAAAAGAAAAAAGCCGGAAGTGGCGCTGTGGCTCAAGTAGTAGAACACTAGCCTTGAGCTGAAGAGCTGAGGGCAGTGCCCAGGCCCAGAGTTCAGGCCCCACGACCGGACCACCCCCCAAAAAAATATATATATATATATAGAATTATAAAATTAAGAAGCTAATTGTGAAGAAAAAAATAAATCACAAGATTGCTCAATATCACTAATCAAAGGGAAATCAAAACCAAAATGAAATATTATCTCATAATGCCAATGAAATATTATCTCACATCTGTTAGATACACCTATTATTTTATTGTTTTGTTTGGTTTTGGTTTTTTGTCGATCGTGGGGCCTGAACTCTGGGCCTAGGTGCTGTCCCTGAGCACTTCAGCTCAAGACTAGCACTCTACCAGTTGAGCCACAGGGCCACTTCCAGCTTTTTCTGCTTATGTGTTGCTGAGGAATCGAACCCAGGGCCTCATGCAAGCAAGGCAACCACTCTACCACTGAGCCACCTTCCAAGCTCCATATACCTATTATTTTAATTTAAAAAAACAAAGGATTGGTAAGGTTGTAGAGAAAGTAAAACCTTTGTATACTGTGGTGGGAATGTAAAATTATGTATTCACTATGAGAATCATCTTGTTAGTTTTATTGAAACTTTGCAAATAATCTAGAACTGCTAAGAGTTATACACCTGAGGCCAACAAGGTAGAGAGAATGAAACCATTGGGGACAGCAGACAACAGACTGAAAGAAAGAATGGGTTCTAATTTGTGCCCTGGATCTGGTCAGCCCAAGTCTTAGAGAATTTTTAGTTATAAAAATTAATACATTCTCATCTTGGCTGAAGGCAATTTGAGGTAGACTTATGTCATTTGCAATCCCAAAGTCCTGACAAGTATGTCCAATATATACTAAGTGTTCCACACCTGCCTTAAAAGGAACATAAACACCATTATTATCAGCCATAACAAAACAAGTTAAGTAATTTTCAAATCTCATCAATCATTTTTTGCCTAGGTATTGATGAATTCTGGTCTGACACTATTTCACTCAGTGGAAAAAAGCATTAGAGGTGTTAAATTCTTTTAAAACATTCTAATATTGAAAAACATTCTAATACTTTCAAAACATTCTAATAGCCCTACTCACTGAAGTAGAATTGGTAAATACATTGGCAGTAGGAGACAGTCTTTCCAAGTATAAAGTATAAAGTGCTTGCTTTCCACTCTTCCTACATGAATGAACACACAGACACACAGATATTTTTCTCTCATTTGAAATTACTTGTTACCCCTTCCCTTATTGTTGTCCCACTATCCCTTCCCTCCCCTACCTCCTACACTCCTCGTCAGTCCCCCCCCCCCCCAGCCAGTAGTGAAGTTCGTTTCTAATATACTGTTCTGTGGGTCTCATTGTTGCAATGGGTCATGTTGTATTCTTGTTTTACCGTTTTGTTATTCCCCTTCCCCTCCCCAGATTAGACAAATGTATACATAAGATGCAAGGTATAATTAAAGAAAGAGGTCCTTTTGAAAAAAATGTTTACTCATATGTATAATTAATATTGTTAAATTCTGAAGCAAACTGTTTCTTTAAAAAATGAAGTTACTAATATATTTGGTTAAAGCATGTTAACTTCCTTTCAATTATGCAAAATGGCTCCAGCAGAAACTGAGATGATTAATGCAAACTTTTTCAAGACTTAGTAGGATTAATAATGTAACTATTTAAAAGCATATAAAACAGATATTTTGGAACTATGTAGGCATATTTACTTGTGCTATACTGAAAAACAATATTTCTAAGTGTTTTCTAAGAGTTTTTCCAATTTCCATACATACCTTTATCAGTTAACAAAATACAATAGTGAAAGAATGTTGGGAAATCTTAGTAAAATGCTACCACAAACATTTGTAAAAAGCGTTATTTTTAAAAAGCTAAAGTTTTAAATGCAATTTAGTATAATCATACAGATTACAAGTGTACACTGAGATATTAATATATATATAAATACAGAAATAGAAATAATACCCTTTTTAGTTGTTGTTCTTTTATGCTTCTCACTGTCCTTGCAGGCTCAGAAATGAAGTTTTTGTAGTTTTCACATATATTGATCCGAGACTGGGCTACCTGCATTGTTCCCTCGAGAAAAGATTTCCAAACAGGATACATACTCCTAAAGAGGGAGAGAAAAGAATTAGGCAGGGAAAAGAAGAAAAAGCTTCCATTGTCCAAAAGGAAGATAATCTTTTATATTACTGTAATATATTAACTTTGGGTTACAGGCAATATTTTATTATAGTACATGGAGAAGCACAGTGGGGAAATCTGGTTCAATGGCTATTCTTTTTGTGTGTGTGTGTGCCAGTCCTGGGACTTGAACTTGGGGCCTGAGTGCTGTTTTTGAGCTTTTTTTTTTTTTTTTTGTCGGTCATGGGGCTTGAACTCTGGACCTGAGCGCTGTCCCTTAGCTCTTCAGCTCAAGGCAAGCGCTCTACCACTTGAGTCACAGTGCCACTTCAGGTTTTCTGGAGATAAGAGTTTCATGGACTTTCCTACCAGGGCTGGCTTTGAACCACACGATCCTCAGATCTCAGCCTCCCGAGTAGCTAGGATTACAGGCGTGAGCCACAGGCACCCAGCTTGTTCCTGAGCATTTTTACTCAAGGCTAGAACTCTACCCTTTGAATTAGCTCTACTTCTGCATTTTTTGGTGGTTAATTGGAGATAAGACTTGTCTCATGGACTTTCCTGTCTGGGCTGGCTTCAGACTGCGATCTTTATCTCAACCTCCCAAGTAGCTAGAATTACATATGTGAGCCACTGGTGCCTGACCAATTAAAAATAGTTTTATGTAATTGTTTATAGTTGATGTCCTTCCTCTCTCTATAGTGAACATTAGATAAAAGTAGGGGTATATTCGTGCTAACTATAGTATTCCTAGGGCCTAGCAAATATAGAATTGTTATAATACTATAATATAGATGAATAGATGAATATAGTAATGAGGACTGCACAATAAAAAGATAACTCTTTTCATCAAAAGAGATTTTAAAAAGAGGCTATTAGAGGGGCTGGGAAGGTGGCTTGCCTTGCATGCATGAGGCCCTGGGTTTGATTCCTCAGCACCACATAAGCAAAAAGAAAAAAGCCGGAAGTGGCGCTGTGGCTCAAATAGTACAGCGCTAGCCTTGAACTGAAGAGCTGAGGGACAGTGCCCAGGCCCAGAGTTTAGGCCCCACGACTGGACTTCCCCCCTCAAAAAAAAAGAGGCTATTAGAGATTAGCAGATTTATAGCAGGCAAATACATCCTTAAACAACTAGGCATCATGAAAAGAATGTATCCAACTGTCAATCAGAAGACTTGTGCTCACATTCCAGTTGAATCCATCTAACCATATGTAATACACCCTCACTACTTCCCAATGTTCAAATAGGAAATAAAAATACTGGGCTTCTAAGACATTGCTCTTTGGTCCACTTCTACCTCCAGGGCCAGTCAATTCTACTTTTCTGGGTTTTCCCCATTTCCCAGTCCTGTAAATACTGGAGTGTTATATAACCACTGACCACTTTCTCTTTACGTTTATCAACAACAGCTCACCTACGATCATGGCTTTAACTGCTATTACTATGCTTAAGTCCTGAACTTTGCATTCCTTTCCACCATCTTCCCTAGCCCCTAAATGCCTATATAACATACTCACATTAGAAATTTAATGGGATCTTAAGACCTTAACGTGTTCAAAAACAAAGTCTTCACTTCCTTAGATTACACCCTTACACCTTAGATTACACCTTAGATTACTTAGATTACTGGCAAATTATTCCATATCAAACCTAGTTTTTCAAATCTAAAATGTTAATATCATCACTGATTCTTTTTTCTCCACTTATATACCACAGTGGTGTTTCAAGAAATCATCTTTGCCTGAAACTGCCAGTTCACATCTATGATCCTAGCTACATAGGAGGCTGAGATCTAAACATCACATCTCAGAGCTATTCCAGGTAGATAATCCATGAGACTCTTAACTCCAAATAACCAGCAAAAAGCCAGAAGTGAAGGCATAGCTCAAGTGATAGAACACCAGTTCAGAGTCAAAAGCCTGCAAGAGGCCTTGAGGTCAAGCCTTAGAACAAGCAAAAGATGTCATCTTTGCCTAGGTTCACAAAATGAAATAGGCTCTGATATATATAGCTTATCTCTTCTACTGCTGCCACCTATTTTCATCCATGATTATCTTGTGCCTGGATTACTGCAATTGTTTCTTAACTGACTTCTCTACCTGTGCTCTGTATCCAATGTCTATGCTGTATGCATTAAACAACTGAAGTGCAACTGCTCCCTGGCACTCTTGGTTGACCTTACAATGCATGTCATTATCACTAACTAGTATATTCAATTATTCACTTGTTTACTTTCTTCTCTAACTAGAATGTAGGCTCCATGTGGCATAACCTTTGTTTTATACTCCACTGTATACGCCACTGTATCTTCAGTATCTAGAATGGAGTATAGTGCTGCAAACACAGGGGAAGGAGAAGAGGAAAGCCCAGAGTTGTTTGACTTCCAAACCTCTGCTCTTAAGGCTGATGGGACTGCCTTTATTTTAGTAACAAGGCTAAACATAAAAAAGGGTCTTTTCATTCTGATAAAGGTATATAGTATACCAAGATTTGTATATCCTAGGTCTTTTATATATATGTCCTACACAATTTTTGTCTCAAACTTCTGATAATAATTTTTTTACCTATTTTTTTAACTGACATACCTTGCAAACTAAAATAGGTAACTTTATATTGCTTTTACAACTTCATATCACTTTTTAAATGTGAAAACAAACACTGGCCATAATAATTAAACTGTAACTAATAAAACACAAAAATACTCATTTATATGCTTCCTAAGAACATGCTGTAAAGTATTTTTATATGAATATCATATTGGAAAACAAAAATTTACCAGAAAGAATTCTGCATTATAAAGCCTGACAGGGAGGCTTACTCTTATAATCTCAGTTACTCTAGAGGTGGAGGTAGGAAATTGATTCCAAGCTGGAGGCCAGTCAAGCAATGTTAGAGACCCAATCTCAAAAACATGGGTAAAGGCATGGCTCAAGTGGTAGAACACTTGCCTACCATGTATTAGAGCCCTGAGTTAAATCCTCAGTATCGCAAAAAAAATTTTTTTCATTATGAAACCAACAAATTAATCTTTATCAGTATGGTGATCATTGAAATCTACATATTATTAAAAAATTGCATGGAATTTAATATGCATGAACATATTTATAAACATATTAAAAACTGATGGATTCTGAACTATATTGTCAGTCTGGATCAGTACAATTTCCTTGTTATGATGCAAGATCTTACCACTGAGGAAACTCAATGAAGGATATCAACATTCTTTATATTATTTCTTACATTAAGCTACAATTACCTCAAAATAAGTTTTTTTTTAAATTAACAAAATTGCAATCTTCCCCAGGCCTAGAAATAATTTCTTTCTAGGTATCATACCTTGGGTCAACTCTAAAAAATGTGCTAAGTTTGGGCTGGGAAGGTAGCTCAGTGGTAGAGTGCTTGCCTTGCATACATGAGGCCCTGGGTTCGTTTCCTCAGCACCACATAAACAGAAAAAGGCAGAAGTGGCTCTGTGATTCAAGTGGTAGAGTACTAGCCTTAAGCTGAAGAGGTGAGGGACAGTGCCCAGGCCCAGAGTTCAGGCCTCAAAACTGATCAAAAAAAAAAAGTGCTAAGTTTACAACTTAGATGAATTTATACAGTAACTGGTAATAAGAAGACGGTATGGTATGTTAATGAGTAAGTGTTCCTGTAATGTTGGACTTGGTTATAAGAAGGGAGAATGTACTAAACCCAGGAAACAGAAGAAAAATCCAGAAGGAAGACAACTAATTGTGCAGGTGAGCTGTGGTAAGAACTACAGTACAACTGCGGCTGAAGCACATAGGTTTGGAACCAAGGTCAAAAGAGGGAGAAATGGCTAGATATGAAGAGACATAAGATCTGGAGCAAGGTTTTTTCATGGTTTTGAATATCATAAAAGAGACTTTCAAGTGAATAGCATTTTACAAAGACATAGGATGGTTATGATAAAAGGCAAACATAGTTTGTTGCATTGTAGCAAATGGAATTGTGAAAGGGAGAGATCACAGGCAGATGAGCAGCTATATAATGTTCCAGAAAAGAGAAGATTAAACAGAAAAATGCTGAAATTGTAGGCATGTGTCTTTGTTTTCCCAGCCAAAAGTTAACAAAAATATTTGATCATTGCTAGAGACAATATTTAGAGCTAACAACGTAGAGATTATTGAGAAAATGACAACAGAGCTGAGGAAATTTTGAGAAACATTCAGAGAAACATTCCTCAAAGATAAAAAAAAATGTACAAGAGCAGGTACTATAGAAGTTTAGTTTCCAGGGAAATGGGGATTTCATGACATTAAATGGTGCTAGTATCACTAGATTGGAAAACAATTTAAAAGACTGATCATATGCACAGATAAAGATGGATCAGTTTGTAGGTAGGAAGCTAAGTAAATAGGTAGGTAGCTAGTTAAGTGGCTAGGTAGGTAGTTAGGTAGACAGGCAGACAGGGAGACAGAAAAACAAAAAAGGAGCTAATTCAAGAGGTAGAGTTCTAGCCTTGAGCAAAATGCTCAGGAACAAGCTGGGCGCCCGTGGCTCACGCCTGTAATCCTAGTTACTCAGGAGGATGAGATCTGAGGATCTTGGTTCAAAGCCAGCCCAGGCAGAAAAGTCCGTGAGACTCTTATCTCCAATAAACCACTAGAAAACCCGAAGTGGCACTGTGGCTCAAGAGGTAGAGTGCTCGCCTTGAGCTGAAGAGCGCAGGGACAGCGTCCAGGCCCAGAGTTCAAGCCCCACGACCAACCAAAATTAAAAAAGGAAAAGAAAAACAAAAAAGGGGCAATTTTAAATCATAGTAAAAGAAATGAACAATTTATTGGTACAGAACTTATAAAAGACTATTTCTAAAATCAACATTTTAAATGTGTAAACCCTCTATACAGTTTTTCTTCCTGAAATAATTTACACTACAGGCAGACAATACACATATTTGTATATAGGAATTATTCACTGTAGCATTATTTATAGAAGCAATAAATTAATAACCACCAATAAGGAAATGGATAACAAAATTGCAGTTCATTCATACTGTGACTTTAAAAGTCACTTAAAAAGAATGAATAAGCTGGGCACCAGCTCATGCCTGTAATACTACCTACTCAGAAGGCTGAAATCTGAGGACTATGGTTCAAAGCCAGCCCAGGAGGAAAGTCCATGAGACACTTATCTCCAATAAACCACCAGAAAACCCGAAGTGGCACTGTGCTCAAGTGGTAGAGTGCTAGCCTTGAACTGAAGAGTTGAGGGACAGCGTCCAGACCCAGAATTCAAGCTCCATGACCAAAAAAAGAAAAAAACAACTGCCAAGAAAGGCTTGTGTAAAGTAGACTGTGTGTGCATGCACATACATATGCATAACACAATTTGGTAGAGAGAGCAGTTTACAGATACATATGTGTGTGTGTATATGTGTATCTTAGTTCCTTTAAAAAGAGCAAAACTGTATTTTCACAAATGAATCATACAGGAAAAAATGTGAAAGGAAAGACTACATGCTTTTTATAGCAATTACTCCAGAGAGTAGAAATAAGGATGAAAGAGGCTTGAGAAAGTACTTCTGTAACTTTTGTAATATTAAGCTAATTGGTGAAAACCATGTATTTCTTGGATAAGATATTTTTAAATTCCAAGATGAATTTAAGTGAACAAAATTAAAGAAGCAATTTAAACTGACCACAACCAAATAAACTCAGAATATAATAAAACAAAAATGGGCAATTGCCATTCTCACCATCAATTCTGATCTTTCTATTGTCTTTTTCTAGCATGGCACCATTATTCTCTCAGTTGCTTAAATAAAAAAACTTGGGAATGATTATGTTACTCTGCCTCCCTTCCTCCTACTTCATTCATCCAGCCAGTAAATATTTATCAAGTGCCTCCCACTTGCCAGGAGCTATTTTAATACAAAGCAAACTATTTAGTTTGCCTCAGAATGGGACAAACTCAAAAAACAAATCTCTGCCAAATCAACTGCTAGTCCTCTAGTTTCAGTTTTTTAAATACCTCTGAAATCTCCTCCACAACCTGATTTTTACTATAATATCCATGGTTCAAATGAACGGATACAATGTGGGAATAAAGTTTGGAATTCTTTCTCATATCCATCTAAATCACCTTCAAAATAGGAGAGTTGATCATATCATTCTTCTCCTGAATATCCTTTAATGCTTCTTTTTTCTTCCAAATAAACATAAACTCCATATCCTGATTTGCAAAGTCCTCTTGGAAAACTATGTATGTATTATCCACATCCACTATTCTGCCCTCCAACCCATATATTTCACATCAGGCCATACTGAACTGCACACAATTCATCTAATATTTGCATTTTCCTATACTCTATGCCTTTAAGGTGTCATTTCTAAAAGAAAAAGGCAAGCAAGAGCTTAGGCCCTAAATTTAAACCCCAGTATGGGTACAAAAATAAATAAGCAAAATTTTTTAAAAAATATGTAATTTCTGTGTGGAGTTCTTTTCACCAAATGGTATGCCTGACAAGCTCTTGTACATTCCTTAAGGTGAAGCTCTACAAATCTAGGTTTTCCTCTATGGTTCCAATGCACCTCTAGAGTACTTCCTGATACTGTAACTTTTAACAATAGCTTTCTTCTGTAAGCTCCTAATGGATAGATATCCTATCTTTTGGTGTCTCTAATCCTGAAGTCTAGTTTAAAAGCTGGCATGTAGTAGATTTTTTATATGCATATCATGAATAAAGAAATAATGACTTATTATTATATATGACTTAAAGAAGGTCATCTTCTTTACATGTGTGTGACCTTTAAGTCATATATAACCCAAGACCTAGTGACCTAGTAAAAAATTAGGGTAATAATCACAGACATGAATGAAGTTGCTACCATAGGATCTAAAAATAACTATTAAATGCTGGCTTAAAATACTTGTTAGAATTAAATACCTAACCTGGGAACATAGCCTGTAGACTCATTCTTTGGCACTTGAAATCTGAATTTCCAACAAGCTTAGAATATTGTTCATCTTTAAGTTATAAAATTTTATCCCCAATATCATGATTTTCTTAGTAATGCTGACTGTATAACAATATCACTGAATATGTTCACTCTCACCTCAAGGTTTTAATCCTCTTATCTCTTTTGCCTAAAATTTCATCTCCTCTTTTTAGCTTAAATTTATATATACTAGAAAATCTGAAGGACACCTCTAGATTTATTTTGTCATTTAATATTTTCCCAGTTTTGAGTTCAGGCTCTCTCATGCTTGCTAGATAAGTGATCTAACACTAAGCCATGCCTCCAACCCTTTATTATGCTGGTTGTTTTTTGAGATAGCGTCTTGCTTCCTGCCTGAGAAAATATTAGAGCTATGATCCATCTACTTAAGCCTCGTATCATAGGTATGATGATAGGTGTGTGTTTACCATTCTATTATACCATTCTATTATTTATAGCTATCATGTCACCTTCCAAGTCTACCACTATAAAGAACTATTAGTGTTTCTTGTATATCCTTCCATTTTCTAGCCTCATCTCCACATTCCTTTTACAAATTTTATTTTTAATTGTTTTATTGTTATTATAAAGGTGACATACTGAGGAGTTATATTTATATAAGTTAGATAAAGTGTATGTTTCTTTTTGGACAATGTCATCCCTTCCCTTGCTCTCTCCAAGTTTTTCCCTCCCATTCCACCCACCAATTGTATAGTTCATTTTCAACCTAGTGTCCAGTGAGTACCATTGCTTCATTTGTTCACCCTTTGTTTCTCCATTTCTGTGTTTCTTCTTATACTCCCAAGGACATATAAATGAACAAACAAAAAGGAAAGAAAAAAACACAAAAAAGAAAAAACTTCTTTTTTTCATTTCCTGGAGTTCATTTCAATAAAAATTATTTTATATGATCAGATGCATATAGATATTGTGCTTTTCTGTTCTCTCATTTCCAGTCTTAAGAAATTCTCTGATAGCCAGGTGCCAGTGGCTCACACCTATAATCCTACCTACTCAGGAGGCTGAGATCTGAGGATCTTGGTTCAAAGCCAGCCTGAGCATGAAAGTCCGTGAGAATCTTATCTCCAATAAACCACCAGAAAACCTAAAGTGGCGCTGTGGCTCAAGTGGTAGAGTGCTCGCCTTGAGCTGAAGAGAGCAGGGACAGCATCCAAGACCCACGACTGACAAAAAAAAGAAATTCTCCGATGATGTTGATGATGTTAGTCACTGCTGACAATTTCAGCAGCTTCATTTAATTTTCAGACTCTAAATCATATACTTCAATAATGAGTTTGTCATTACTCTGAAATCTTTATTATGTTTTGATACACATTAGTATTAATTCAAACTAAATTGTAAGATATAAGTTCCTTGACTTCTGGGTCTCCAAATAAATAGGAAAGCTCTTAGCACAAAAAACAATAAATATATTAAAAAAATTTTTTTTGGTTGGTTGTGGGGCTTGAACCATGGGCCTGGGTGCTGTCCCTCAGCTCTTCAGCTAAGGCTAGTGCTCTACCACTTGAGCCACAGTGCCACTTCCGGTTTTCTGAGTGGTTTATTGGAGATAAGAGTCTCACGGACTTTCATGCCCAGGCTGGCTTTGAAATGCAATCCTCAGATCTCAGCCTCCTGAGTAGCTAGGATTACAAGCATAAGCCACTGGCGCCTGGCTTAATATGTTCAATTATTGATGTCCAAAAAGACATTTAAAAAGCTACATTTTGGGGGACAGGTAGATATGGGGGATTAAACTCAGGGTCTTAAACTCTTACTGAGCTTTTTTCCTCACAGCTGGCACTTTACCACTTGAGCCTTGGCTTTAGTTTAGCTTTTTGTTGATGGAATCTTACAGACTTTTCTTCCCTGGCTGGCTTTGAACTGAGATCCTCCACGTCTCAGCCTTCTGAATATTTAGGTTTATAAGTATGAGAGGAACCTGGGTTCTTTTTAAAAATTACATTGTGGAAGTTTTGGGGTATATAGTTCAGTTTAGTGTGCTTTCCTAGAATATGTGAGGCCCTGAGTTCAATCCCCAGTACTATCTATAGTCTGCTGTCATCAATCTTTTAAATTCTACATATGGCTATTAATTAAACAATATAACTTTGGCTTATGACATTAAAATAATCTACTTAATATAGAACAGCTGTAAGTATAATGAAGCATAAGATTTTTGACAGTTTTAGAAGTATGTCTAAAAATATAACAGAGGAGGGTAGCAATTCTTTTAAAAACTGGGATGTTTTATTATCTAAATGTAATATAGCTTTGAATTAAACTTTTTTTTTTGTAGGTTGAACTCTTGGCCTGGGCACTGTCCCTCAGCTCTTCAGTTCAAAGCAAGAGTGCTACCTCTTCAGCCACAGCACCATTTCTGGTTTTCTGATTATTAATTGGAGATAAGAGTCTCATGGACTTTCCTGCCCAGCTGACTTTGAACAGTGATCTTCAGATCTCAGCCTCCTGAGTAGCTAGGATTACAGGCATGAGCCACCTGATTCCAGCTCAGAATTAAACTATTTTAAAAGAACAAAAGCCAAAGGTATTTAATAAGTTACCTGTAATTATTCCGATCATCAGCTTTTATTCCAGGCCAATCTCTCTTCAGGTACTGACTAGCCAACTTCTGAATGCCCTGTTAAAAAAGTACAATGTTTTAAAATTAGTATTGTACCATGAAAAAGTTATTTTCTTTAATATACAATACTTAGAAAATCTCTATTTTCTAAATGTAAATTTATTCTGAAGAACCAATGATAAATGACAGAACACTACAATCTCATCATTCTCCAGTCCTTCCTGCCTCTATTTTTAGGAAAAACATGAGCATATTTATGAGATAACAGAAACTTCCATTATATACATTTCACTTCACCGAACTATTTGACTAGCTATACAAACAATCTCCAAGATGTCACAGGGGACATAGCTGTCCATCTCCACAAAGCTCTGATTACACAGCTTCACATTTTATTCTCTCACTACTCCTCCACTGTGTCAAGAATGATACATTTCTAACAAATTCTCACATAACAGAAGTGGGAAAAATGCATCCAATTTGGAGCAGACAAATATTTGCTTGTAAAATTAATAAACAGTCTTTGAGGCAATTTCATACCGGGAACCCTCAAGACTGATTTTAAGGATCTTCCCATTAAAAAAAATCATGATACAGCTCACTTCAGAGAAAAATAATTTTACTGGAAAATTTACCCCTTGTTATTCCTATAACATGAATCTAAACAAAATAGAGTATTTGTCTATAATGTATGGGAGGTTTCGGAATTTGAACACAAAAGATCATTTTGTTGGGAAGTGAGGTTAAACTATTCATCACAAATATATATATATATATATATATATATAATTTTTAAATCAAATATGATCCTCTAACACTACAGTAGGGCCCCATGTAATAGATATGCACATAATTGATTCTTGTGGTATTTATTTCTATACTTGCAGCTATGAAAGTGTATCAAGGTGAAATGAAGAATAATCACAGTAGTTGTACACTTTAAGCAAAGACTGCACAAGTAAAATAAATGCTTCACTTTACACATGGAACCTGCTGCCAAATCAATTTGGCCTAAACTTATAGCTGAATGCCTTTGATAAAATATAATTACTTCAGTCCAAAAAGAACTGAAGAACCACTGAATCTCAAGTTCCTTCTGAACTTTACAATGTAATTCAACTTCACTATTTCCAAGTACTATGTATTCTGAGAATTCACAACTACAATCCATAATACTTCCACTTAACAAATCTTGTACTTTGGGAAGCCCAGTTATTAAGTCTTCTCTAAATTATACATTATCTTGTCACTTCTGTACCTTGTACATACTGTTCTCATCACATGAAGTATATTTCCACAAATTACACTGATGCTTGGTAAATTCTTATCTCCTTCCCTTTTATCCTAATTTTTAAAAATTCTTTTTTTTTTTTTTTGGGCCTGGGCGCTGTCCCTCAGCTCTTCAGCTCAAGGCTAGCGCTCTACCACTTGAGCCACAGCGCCACTTCTGGCTTTTTTCTTTTTGCTTATGTGGTGCTGAGGAATCGAACCCAGGGGCCTCAGGCATGCAAGGCAAGCGCTCTACCACTGAGCCACCTTCCCAGCCCACTAAAAATTCTTAACACAAAATACTCCTAGGTATATACAGTAAAATGTGAAAAGTTTCATTGCATAGGTATTTAATTTTACTTCATTCTACTACAATAATTTAATATTTTCCCTGCATTTATTGGCTGTAATTCTATAAAGAAGGATTCCTCCTAAACCATATGGTTTTCCTGAGGTAAAGCTCTTAGATGAAAGACAGGATAAATATCTGTCCAGTTCTGGACTAACAATGAATAATGTAGGGGAGGAGGCTTGAACTCAGGGCCTGAGTTTTTCTGCTCAAACCTAACACTCTACTACTTGAGCCACAGCTAAAGCTTTTTGGTGGTTAACTGGATATTAGAATTTCACAGCCGGGAGTCAGTGGCTCACACTTGTAATCCTAGCTACTCAGGAGGCTGAGATCTGAGGATCGTGGTTCAAAGCCAGCCCGGGAAAGAAACTCGTGAGACTCTTATCTCCAATAAACCATTCAGAAAACCAGAAGTGGCACTGACTCAAGTGGTAGAGTGCTTGCCTTGAGCTGAAGAGCTGAGGGATAGTGCCCAGGTCCAGAGTTCAAGCCCCATGACTGACAAAAAAAATAATAATAATTTCACAGACTTTCCTGCTGGCTTTGAACCAAGATCCTCAGATCTCAGCCTCCTGAATAGCTAGAATTACAGATGTGAACCACTGGTGCCTGGTAATACATTTTAAAGTAACATTACAAACTCATATATTCTAAATAATGAATGTGTTCCAATTTAACTGTAGTTACTATCCTTTTTGTTGTAAAGATGATGCACAGAGGGGTTAGTTACCTAAGCAAGGTAATGAGTACATTTCTTTTTTGAACAGTGTTACCCCTTCCCTTGTTTTCTCCAGCTTCCCACTCTGCCCCTCCCCACCCTGTAGTTACTATTCTTTTAAGCACAACTGTCATATCTTTGGTCTGTTCAAGTCCCCCCAAGTTGGCTCCTATATCATGACATTAATAGACTTTGATTGCTTGTTTTCTTTTACAGCTCCTGTCCCAGACCATCAATAAACTAGTTTTTTGTGCAATCGTGATTACTTTAAGAGCAAAACAATATTCAGGGTACACATCTAGGCATGTCCTTATTCTTGGGGTATCTGTGTCTTTCTTTACAAGGCCTTTTATAATATATATATATTATATTATTATACTTACTTCTACTCATTTACTTCAGAGTGGATTTTATCTAATTCTTAAAAATATGAAACTACATTAACTTGCTATTTTGTAGAACTCTAAGGTACAAAGCTGAACTGTATTAAACTGAATGAGCCCTTCAGAGATGAAATGAGGGATTCATGAAATAGACAAACAGTGAGATCTCTAGATGAAAGACTTATTCAAGTTAGTTCACAGAGGCTGGAATCATGACTTCTGTGTGCTCTGTGCAGCTGTTCAAGATTTAATTTGTGTGGCTGCTCAAAAATACTCTGTGGTCATTATCAAAAGGGTCCTAAATAAAATTTCCTGCCTCTGAAGGCATTCTATCCTTAAATAGACTAGTTTGCCTTTAATATTATGCTTTAGTTACATTTGATAGATGGATGGCTTACTTATATAGAAAGTTATCCATCCTAATTAAGTGTGAAAGAGAATAAACTATGCCTTGTAATTTTAAGTGTTTTTTTTTAAATTATATAATCACTCCCCTGGCCCATGACATTACTTTCTAAAACTACTTTACTAGGAGTACATATATTTATATTGACAAGCATCTCTGATGAATAAAGTTGATTTCACTTGCAATATAGTTCACTCTGGAGCAGTAACTTCTAAAAATTTGCAACATCCAATAACATCCTATTCCAACTTTTAAAAACACTGTCAGTTTCTAATGTAAGACTAGCTTTGTTTCACCTTTCAATAACTCTAACAAGTAAAAGACACACAAAGAAGGCCACTGTTGAGTAGACACTGGGAAATGGACTGCTAGTTTAGCCTTTGGCCCATTCACCACCACAAACTGAGCATGAATATACTCCTTAGCTTTCCCACCGGTTATCCTACATCTATCTTTTCCCCACCATACAGCAAAAATACTGCTTAAATTTTACTAAGATTCTGCCATCAGATAGCTCTTTAAAACATTCTTGACATACCATGAAATTCCTAATGTACAAAATTGATCTTAATTCATTTCTCCAATTGATTTACTATAGTCATCCATCAATTCAATAGCAACAAAATTACTCTCATCTTCCTTAAGGAACATTTTAAAATATTTTTATTGCTTTGCGCCATATACAATTAATTGCATTGGGAAAAATGAAGCCATGTATTATTTTAAATAACATAATAAAAAGCTTTTACTGACTTTTCTATTGATTTCATGATGAAATGAAATAGGAATTTCATGTTATACGTTATTTGTATTAAACACCACTGGCAGCCATTTTTCCTTTACAGGAAAGAAAGATCAGTTTTAGTTAAATTGAGTATTAAAAATATTACTGCTGATTTGTGTATATGTTGTACTAGAGATTGAACACAGGGTCTTCTGCATACTATGAGTATTACTTTCCCCAAACCATCCCCTTTTTATACAAGAGACAGTATCTTTCAATGTTGACAAGACAGGCCTTGAACTTGCAACTCTCCAGGCTCAACATTCTGAACTTGAGTTCAGAGGCTTTTGCCACCAGACCCTGTGCTCTACTGAAATTTTGAAGTCTATCCTATTTGATTTAAAGACCAAACATAGTATTAAAATTAATTAAAATGTAGCAATCATTTATGATTTAAAAAGAAAACAAAAAATAATAAGTAAAAGGAAACTTTAAGAAAAGAAATGAAGGGCACAAAGTGGGTACCAGTGGCTCATGTCTGTAATCCTAGCTTTTTGGATAGCAGAGATCAGGAAATACTTCAGTCCAGGCCAGTCCAGACAAAAAAGTTCTCAAGACTCTATCTCAACAGAAAAAAGCTGGACATGGTAGCATATGCACGTCATCCCAGCTACAGAAGAAAGTATAAAATAGAAAGACTGTAGTCCAGGTATAGGTCCTGGCAAAAAGGTGAGACTTTATCTCACAAACAACAAAAATGATTGGAAATGTGGCTCAAGAGGAGAGTACCAGCTTACCAAAGGCTGGCCCAGAATTCAAAGTCAGACTACATGGATGGGAGGGAGGAAGAGAAAAAGAAGGGAAGTATAGACTTTGCAAAGGAAGAAATAAAGCTATACTTTCCATAGATAACATGAGTTCCTATGTTAAAAAAAATCAACTAATAAGTACTAATGGTTTAAGAAAGGTTTCAAGACAAATGGTCAATTTATCAAAACTAATTACTCTTCTTCATACCTGTAATGAGAAGTTAGAATTTGAAATTTTAAAAAAATGTGATAACATGGGGGAAAATAAAGTACTTCAGGAATAATCTTAACAAAATACATACAGAATCAGTATGCATAAAACTTCCAAATATTGTGAAAGAAATTGAAGATCTAAATGAATACAAAGACATTCCACATTAATACATTTAAAAGTCT